GATAGATAGATAGATAGACAGATAGATAGATAGATATAATTTTTCTTGGACAATTTCATGCATATGCAATGCATTCTAGTCACTCACAAACTACCTCATCTACCTCATCCTATCTCCCTTCTATCTCCCTTCTAACCCTCACAAGCCTCCCTCTCCTTTATAAGTCCCTTTCTACATTCATATCTTTATATTTCATCTTATGAACCACTAAAATTTAACCAAGCCTATAGTGATACATTATTTATGATTTATTAAAACTTGACTGAGGATTCAGAAAGGCAAACTTAGCCTCAAGCTGTAGAGATCAGGCAGTGGTGGCACATGCCTTTAATCCCAGGAGCCAGAAACTGGGAGGTGGTGGTACACACATTTAATACTAGGACTCAGGATTAAGAAGAATGTCTTCGAGTCCAAGGCCACCCAGATCTATACAAGATTGAATCAGTCTAAAAGATAATTATAGCTCACACCTTTAATCCCAACATTGGGGAAGTATGTAAGACAGAAGCAAAGTCTCAAAGAGGTTCTCCAGCCACACTGAGGAGAGAGGTAGTAGTTTCAGACTTGGTGAAGCGCTCCTGGGTAGATCAGGCCTTTCAGCCTGAGCTAGAAGTGAGAGCTAGTGGCTGACTACTTTGTTTTTCTGATATTCAGCTTGAAGCTGGAATCCCAATATCAGTGTCTGGGTCTTTTATTTATCATGTTACAACTGTCACTGTATCCATGAGTCTTGCACTATGCACTGGAGTCTTTTGAACTCACCTGTGGGTAGGGCTGACAGTGACTGGCTCTCTTCCATTATCCATCAATAAGTAGCCAGTAGATCAGCAAGGTCCTGTGAGTCCCTCCCTGGTTTATACTTGCTGATGACAGGGCCAGTCTTGTGCAAGCAGCTATAACTGCCTGAGATCATGTTTACAAAGACTGTGTCATTAAAGGAGAAAAAATATCCATTCTCAAAGTTTATTTTAAAGAGATAAGGTAGAAAAGTTTACCCTGCCTATTGTGTGTCTGTGTATTTGTGTTGGAAAGAAAGACAGGAGAGAGAAGTGGAAGAGGGAATGAAAAGGGATAGAAAGTATATTGGATACATTTGTAAAAGAAAGTCTCATGGTGGGAGGAGAGGCATTCCATTGGTCTCAAACTCATAAACAGAATTACATGGAAACAGAAAAGTAGATACTTGAAAACCGAAGAGAAGGGAATTACAACAAAATAGATTTGTGTCAACCAAAATAAAGATGGGACTATTTTTGGTGGAGAAAGAGAAGTTTTTCTAAAGTCTTGGAAGCATTACCACAATAAAAATGATTGAACATAACATGACTGGAGGAAATGAGAGAACTTTTTTCCAGCATGTTAGACCTCGAGCAGCCTGGTACTAAAAGCACAGAGTAAAAGGAGAGTCCAATGCAGAAACAGATTTCTAAAAAAAAAAAAAAAAACCTGGAGCTCTGTCTTCCCTAGGTTGTTTGGGATAGAAACAATACATCAAAAACAAGATCTCATGGGAAGAGTAATAATCCAGGGCAAGAAGAAGGGCCATGCAACACAGATTTAAAGTTGGCTTTATTTTTATATAGTCAAGTAATACTCCTCATGTCAAACTTTTACTTGTAGGTATAATATATCTTAAATTATCTCCACCACTGGTTTTCTAAAGTTTTACATATTTTCTTTATGCCAGAACTTCATTTAAAGTGATATAATAATAATACACTCTTTGTGGATTTTGAATACACTGTCAAACTACTCATAGTTATCACGTTTTTCTAATTTCAGGCACTTTGAAAAATCAAACTTCTCCATCAAAAGATGACAGTAAAAATTATAAGAATGTTAAACATGTAAGTTTCCTGATTTATAGGTAATATGCACATTTTAATGATATTCATAATAACCAGCTTATTACAAATTAATCTATAATTGGTACTTCTTTGGGTTCAGGAGTAGGTGACTAGCAGTGAAAGAAGAAATCCATATAAATGTAATTTCAGATCAGCCCCTTAGACAGAAAATACTCCACCTTTTTAGGTCTTAGAGAAGGATGTGTTGAGTGAGGCAAAATCAAAGCTAAGTTAATTCCATAATTTACCAAAACAATCAGACATTACACATTCAGATTTGGATATCAAATTCACGTACCAGACTAACTAAGAGGGACCAAGCTTATTAGTCCAAGTATAATATAACAACAAGAAATTCAGTAGACTGGGGGCAGCTCCATATGTCAACATAGGTACCAGCTCCCAGAAGGAGGACAGAAAGAGGAGAAGGAAATGTCAGTCCTGCAAAAGAAACAATGTGTTATTTTTCTGAAGATGCAGGACAGAAGAGGGACTGACTGCATGATCTCAGAAAACACTAGATATGTCCTAAGGCTGAGTCACAGTGTAGTGAGTGCTGCAGTGGTTGAGCAATTTTCTTACTTAGATCAAGTTTTCTCCAAAAAATGCAATAGTGTAAGAAAGTCATACTGATGGGCATCAATGACCTCAGTGGCAAGAAAACAAGAGTTTCTGAGGCTGGGAACTAAACTGCACCTTGTAAATGTTTAATATTTTACAGCATGTATTTCCATTAGGAATATAGACATATCAAAACACAGTTGTTGATCCTTGAGAGATTGTTGTGCTTTTGTTCACTCTCTTGTTTCCATAGGATATTTAAGAGCATTTTGGTTTTGTATTTAAATTAGAAACAATCCTATTTTATATATCAATCTCAGTTCCTTCTCATCCTCCTATGCCCCCCATCCCCGCCACCAACCCCCATCCCATCCCTCTTCCTCTACGTAGAAAGGATGAGGCCTTTCCTGGGGGATTATCAAAGTCTGTCACATCATGTGGGGCAGGGCCTCGGCCTTCCCCCATGTGTACAGGCTGAGAGAGTATCCCTCTATGAGGAATGAGTTCCCAATGTCCATTCGTACACTAGGGATAAATACTATTCCATTACCAGAGGCCCCATATGCTGCCCACATCTCCTAATTGACACCCATGTTCAGAGGATCTGGTTATGTCCTATGCTGGTTTGTGAGCTGTCAGTCTGGGGCCCATATGCTCTCCCTTTTTCGGGTCAACTGTTTTTGTGGGTTACCACACCCTTGTTTTGATCTCTTTGGTCATCACTCCTCCCTCTCTACAACTGGATTCCAGGAATTCAGCTCAGTGCTTAGCTGTAGGTCTCTGCTTCTACTTGTATCAGCTACGAGATGAAGACTCTAGGATGACACAAACTAGTCATTAATCTCATTACAGGGGAATGGCATTTAAGATAGCCTTTCCACTATTGCTTAGAATCTTAGATAGGGTCATCCTTGTGTATCTTAAGAGTATTTTGATGGTGGAGTAGGCTAGTGAGCCTCAATTTTAAAGCTGCTATATATCTCTTGAAGATATTGATAAAAATCCAGGCATTGATTCAGCAAACCTAGTAGGGCTGCATATCTGGATTTCTAAAGCACTCTTGTAAACTGTCTTTGGAGCTAGTCCTTTACCTGTCCAACCTACACAGAGGCAGTTTAAGGAAGTAAAAATCAAAGGCTGAAATTTTGAAATAGAAATTTCTAGAAATTCCCCAATTTTCAAGATATTAAGTTTCTATTAAAAGTAGAAGTTTAGCCTAGCACATGACCCTACCTGCCAGGCAGAATCTCCCTCAACTCTGACCATTGAAAAGACCCCATCACTACTGGCATCAGTGTTCACCAGAGTGTCTCCCCTCTTGCTATATCTCCCTCTCACTCCCCTTCTCCCTTTGATCTTGTTGCCTCTTCTATTACTGGCAGCATTAAAGCAGTAAATAACTTGAATTACATAAAATATTTTTTGGTCTAGTTTGCACAGATCCAATCTTTTTATTTCACTTTTTATTTAAATTAAAAACAATCTTATTTTACATACCAATCACATTTTCCTTCCCCTCCTGTCATCTCACTCCCCCACTGTCTCCCCATACTACCCCCATCCACTCTTCAGAGAGGGTAAGGCCTCCCATGAGGAATAATCAAAATCTGTCACATCATTTGGGGCAGAACTGACCCCCCATATCTAGGCTGAGTAGGGTATCTCTCCAGAGGGAATGAGCTCCAAAAAGCCAGTTCATGCACTACAATAAATACTGGTTCCATTGCCAGTGGCCCCGTAGATTGCCCAAGCCTCCAACTGACACCCATATTTATGGGTTTTAGTTAGGTCTTAATGCAGCTTTCCCAGCTGTCCTTCTGGAGTCCTTGAACTCCAACATGCTCAGGTCAACTGTTTCTTTGGGTTTCCCCAGCATGGTCTTGACCACTTTGCTCATCACTCCTCCCTGTCTAAAACTTGACTCCAGAAGTCTGGCTCGGTACTTAGCTGTGAATCTCTGCTTCTGCTTCCATGAGCTACTGGATAAAGGTTCTATGGTGGCATCTTGCTTTGCCAGGGAACTTGTTGTGGTGACCTACAGGCGCTGTCGTTAGGTAGGAAAATATGACACATTATAAGGAAGAGTAGGGGTTGCTCTGGGTCACGGATGCCATGACCAGCCACAATGGCTGATAGTAGGAATCAACCCACATGAGTACCAACTTAAGTCAGGGGTTAAATGAGTCCCAAGATAAATGATAATCAGGTATTTATTAGGGAAGTACTTACACAAATAATAATACATAACTGATGCTTATAAGGGGTTATGTCTGCACACCTAAAGCCACGCCCATAGGGTGTGGCTACCACCACAAGTTCACTGGCAAAGCAAGATGCCACTAAAGCTGTGTCTTCCTATTTACCAGATGCTATCCATGAAACTGAAACCAGCTTACATGAGGGATCAGGAAGGTAGAGTTCAGGAAAGGGCAGAGAGGAGAGGAAGGAAAGATAGAGGGAGCCATTATGGGGTAAAGGAGAAACCTGGCACTAGGGAAATTCCCAGGAATCCATAAGGACGACCCCCAACTAAGAATCTAAGCAATAGTGGAGATGCTACCTTAAATGCCCCTCTGTTATACTGAGATTGATGACTACCTTAAATACATCTTGTTTTGCCAGTGAACTTGTGGTGGTGGCCATGCTAATCTTCTCTGTTTCATTTCAATTTTAGTTCACTGGCAAAGCAAGATGCCACTACACATAGCTATTACTAATAGTACATTTAAAAAATGTGTTTATGTAGCTTGGTCTGTTTGTGGTGAGCCTAGCAGTGGGATCAGGTCCTGTCCCTGTCCACTTACACTGGCTTTTGGGAACATATTCCCCATGCTGAGTTGCCTCTCCCAGTCTTGATGTAGTGGGAAGAACTTAGTCCTCTCTCAACTTGACATGCATGCCATGCTTTGTTGACTCCCATGGGAGGCATTATTCTTTCTGAAAAGAGACTGAAGAGGAAGGGATGGGAAAATAGAGGGGAAGCAGGAGCAGGAGGGAGGAACAAGAGAAGTGGAGGGAGGGGAAACTGATCAGGATGTAAAATAAATAAAAAATTTTAATTAATATAAACAAATAAATTTTTAAAAAGTAGAGGTTTAGATCAAAGGCATTTAACTATTTCTTTGGTTGTGCTATTTAAACATTGGTTGAGGGGACAAACTACTTAACACAAAAAGATTACTTGGCACTGAAAAAAATTACTCGGTTGAACTCTGTGGAGAGTGTCTTTATGAAAGAAGTCTACAATTAGTCAGCAAGGTCTGACTAAGTATGTTGAGGACCCTAACCCTACATTGGGAAATTTGAAGTGTCCTCCCAAAACACATAGAATCCATATGATGCCCAGAGAATCAAATAAATTCTTTTCATTGACATACTTCAGTGTCTATCTTCACATTAACTAGTTAACTAGTCAGATAATTGCCTAACCCTGAGTTCTGTTCACATGAACCAAGTGGACTCAAACCTGGCTAGTGGCCTACAATAACACATAATAACTGAATCATCACTTCTTGAACATTTGTTATGTGACTAAAAATATGCTTCATGGACAAAAAGTCAATTAATAGTAATTTGTTTAACTTTACTTTATGTGCATTGGTATAAAGGCATTAGATCCCCTACTGTTCACATGAACCAATTATACTCAAACCTGGCTAGTGGCCTACAATAACACATAATAACTGAATCATCACTTCTTGAACATTTGTTATGTGACTAAAAATATGCTTCATGGACAAAAAGTCAATTAATAGTAATTTGTTTAACTTTACTTTATGTGCATTGGTATAAAGGCATTAGATCCCCTAGAACTGGAGTTACAGACAGTTATAAGCTGCCATGTAGGTGCTGGGAATTGAACCTGGGTCCTCTAGAAGAACAGTCAGTGCTCTTAACCACAGTTCCACCTCTCCAGCCCCCAATTAATAGTAAATTTATTGGAAAAGCATAGCAGTTGGATAATGATGGAAAAACACTTTTGTTACTAGAACAAGTCAATAAAGCATAGTAACTAAAATGAACCAGTTTCATTCAGAGGCAATTTATAAGGATCAACCACTGTCCAGAAAAGAATTAACAAAGCCATTTATCATTCTTTTCAGAGATCTACTGTGCATGTTAAAATGTTTTAATTACCATAATAATTGACTCCTTGTTTACATGAAATAAATCAGTAATGATGATATTGGGGGAAAGAAAATTACCCAAACTGGCCCTGATGTCATAACAGTGTGAGGGCCGTCCCTATCCCTGGTCAGCAGCAGCACATGGGTGACTAGACCCTACACCTAGCTGTGCAACATAGTAGAGCTGGCCCTGACAGTGTAGGTGTGGGGGAATAGACTCTGCGAATGTGAAAGCAAGAAAACTAGCCCAGCCCCTTGCATATTACTTCAAGTGGTGAACTAGTCAGGTCAGTGCTGGAGAACTCAGCTTGTTAATGAAGACAGGGGAGAGCTGGCAGGCTGACCAACACTGCAACTACCCAGGTCCAGAACCAGGGTTATGTGATGGTCCACCAAAACATTCATCTCATCTATGATCTTCTGGAGTGGTGCCTGGGGTTGGGGTGGGGAGTTATGGGGGCTGTGTCTAGTGGACACAGAGCTGCAGGATCTTCACAACACACGTCAGCAACAGGATGCCCTGGAAAAGTAACAGTGAGGACTAAGAGCTGATGGTGTAGCACAGACCAGGGGCCTTGAATCAGACCAATAACTCTTTGAAATGAAATTCTGCATGTAAAGATGTATGGACAAAGGAGTTTATTGCATGACTCACTGGGTCACACTGCAGCTTCCATGGTAAGATTTTCCCCTTCCCCATCCCCTTTTTTCCTGTTTTATATTGTTAAATGTTATCATTTTTTATTGGGGGAAGATGGGTGGGATCGGGAGACATGATGTGAAAGACACAAAGAATAAATGAAAAGAAAATTAAAAAAAAAGAAAGAAAGAAAACTACCAAAACTTCCCAAAGCTGAACCTACTCTACTGTTGCCATGGCAACCCACAAGAGAAAATAGCTGATGTTCAACAATAAGAGGAAAAAGCCTCTAAGAAAACAATGAAACATGACTTGTCATTGCATATATTAGTCAGCCTACCCAGCATGGCATTTTAAAATCTTTCCAGATGATTGCTACATTGTTGACATGAACTTCATGTAACTCCCTTGTCTTCAAAGAGATCAACTAGTTAGATCTTCCACTATTCTACACAGCAGCTTCAGTGTCTCAGCATCTGAGAGGAGTAAGCATTCAGAAGAGTCACATACCCTATGAGAAATAGCCTCTGTCATGGAAACAGACAATTAAGTCAAAATTCCTTCTCTCCAAAGAAAGTCCCAGGCCTGACCCCAACCCTACTTCCAGGGTAGGTAGTAAGAACAGAACTCAGCATGAGAAAGGAAGAAGAACATGGCTGAAGTCTACTATATCCCAGATACTACGTATCATTTAATCATCACAATTATTACTTTCATTTGTCAGCAGGTGATAAGAGGGAAGGAGAGCATTAGAATCCATGAATTCAGTGCATTTTCTTGAGAGCAAGCAATACATCAGGCAGCATTAAAGACACTTCCATGTTTAAGTAACCAACAACATGAATTGTTCCTATGGTTCCCAAAACAGGACACAAAAGAATAGGGGGATAGAAACACTAATTTTACAATAATGTTGTTTTGAGGAAAAAATAAATTTACTAAAAATTATTTTAAACCAATTTTGTATTTAAAATAACACTTCTGGTATTTGAAAATCTTTTGCTTGATTTTAACAACCACTGACAATTCGGGTTTATCTCATCTGAAATAATAACAAAGAATTGATGTAGAAGAAAAGCATGAACATCATCAGTATATTAATATTTTAATGGAACCAGAGACTCAGAACATTCAGTAACCCCCAGAAATGTTTTTAAAAAGCTTTTCTACCATTAAGTTATTATAGTTTTGTGTTATTGAAGATATTAATGCAAATATATTTGATTAATAAAACTAATTCGCTGTCAAATGTATAAACTAAATTACAATATCTTGCTCAAAACAATGCTAAATACTTTTCAGAAACATCTCAAAAAATGAATAACAGTTTATTTATTTCATAATTAGTTCTGAGCCTGCTATAGAAGCTAGTCATTAAATATTTCAATTCTATTTAGCATAATTGATATATGTGCATATGTAATACTTCTGATTGAAATCGATTCTATAAATAATGCATGCCATTTACAGCACACATCATTTTGATTTGTTTTCAATACTTATTTTAAAATATATATGGTTTTTATTTCTGTTTCTGATTTCTGAAAGACATAGATAAAATATTCATGGTATTTTTTGGTATTTAATGACTACTTGATTTCTATTTAAATATATTCAAAGCACTCAAACTAGGGGTATCATCATTTATCAAAAAAAAACAATTAAAGTTAGAAAGTTTAGCAGAAGTTAGCTTTGATATCCCTTCCCTTTTAATAAACAGATGAGTCTATCTTGCAGAAATGTAACAACCTGGCCATTCTATAATCCCATGGAGCTTAGATTCCCAGTTTGCATTTTTCTTTGGAGATCTTCTTTGTTTATATCTTTTCACTTATCCAATTTTCTTGCAATTATCTTTAAATCATTCCAATACTTTTGACAATTCTCTTTATACTGGCTTTAAAACCCCTCAATAACTAAAGGGTAAAGAGAAAGCTTTAATTGGACTCTTTCAAAGTCAGTATCCTCAAAATTAACTGTTTGATGCTCTAAGATCTATTTCCCAATCCTTCAAATTGCCGAGGATTTTCAGCAAAAGCAAGTACTTCATCTGAGTATTTACACCCTTCTATCTTCCATATGTTCTATACCTTTGCAGTTGTTTTGTAATCCAGTAATTATTTGGAAAATAATCTGTGTAGTTACAAAAATGTAAAAAACCTAATTTAAGTACTTTTCTATAAGGATGAAGCTCTTTATTCCCCATTCTCTGGTGTCTAGGTATGTGGAGTTGTGTGTGTGTGTGTGTGTGTGTGTGTGTGTGTGTGTGTGTGTTATGATATATATTACATATATGTACATATGTATATACATATATATGGCCATGTTCATGGTGAAGGTGAATAAAGCATGCAAGAAGCCCAGCTGACTATGAATTCACCTTTCCCAGTGCAACAAGGGTCCTTTTCATAGTCCATTTCCTCTACTAGAACAAAACTCCATAGATTTGGCAGCATTTAAGCAACTAAATGTATTTCTCACAGTTCTGGAAGCTGAGATATCAATCTTCAAGTCACTATCAGATTGGTTTATGGTTGATGGAGGTGTCTTTGTAAAAGTTTTCTGACACTATGAAACAAATGAGTATCTCTTTCAGGTCATTTGTCCTATTCATGGACTCCAACCCCATTTTCTAGTAACCTCCCCAAAGCCCCATCTGTTAACACTATCAGCTTGGTGATGAGGATGCAATAGATGAGCAGATCCATCTTCTGACATGCTAATGATGTGGCCCCTTAGATGCCCCTCAACTGAAAATTAGATAAAGAAAATGTGGCACATTTATACAATGGAGTATTACTCTGCTGCAAAAAAAATGACATTAGGTAAATGGATGGAAATAGAAAAAAACACCATGAGTGGAGGTAACCTAGACCCAGAAAGACAAACACTGTATGTACTCACTCATTAGTGGATATTAGCTGTAAAAT